CTTGAAGGAATAGAGATGGACTCACTCAGTTTCTTCCCATGAACTTCTTCATAATGTAACTCTGCTGTCTGGACCAGGTCTGTAGAAAAGAAACTCCTGGACTTTTTCTCCGCTATTGTTCCTCTGAGTCTGAAAGCTGCTGTTACTCTGAAAACAGACTTAATGTTCCAGCTAACAGGGCAAAGATCAGCTGCTATAACTTTATATGACTTCAACTTTTTCAATAATTAACCCGTAGCAGCTTCCTGATGCTAATCAGACCATCAAAGAAAGTTCTACAGTCTCTGATGGTATAAACACCCAGAACTCTTTCTATTTTAGGAGTCTAAACATTTCTGGGTTGTTTTCATTTTTACAGTCTGCAGGATCCAGTCGGAACCTGTAGAAGCAGCCGATCCAATAAAACTAGAGTCATTAGAGTTAAACATGAAGCTACATGAAGGTTTTAAATCACAAATGTCGGTGTAGTTCTCTTCAGCTTCCTGGCTCCTTTGGTCTTTGTAATCTTTTCCAGACATATAGATATCAGTGACCTCGTTTCTCATCTCTTCTTGAGATCCAGGCCTGATGTGTTGCTGTTGAAGATTTTTATCCTACTTTATGTTGTCAGATGGGTTGTATAGGGTTTCTTCTTGATTCTGCAGATGAGCAGGTAATCAGGCCCAGATGTGGTTGTTGTGTATAGCTTTATTAATGTAATGAATAAAATCATCCTGTGAAAACAGCTTTTTGTTTATCAGATATTCTTTGATACAGTCTTTTCCCAGTGTGACTTTATAATTCTTGCAATAATTATTATAGTACCTTTAAAGGAATCTTAATCCAGTCAACACAACATTTTTGAGACACTTTAGTGTTAAATGATGTCCATTTATAGAAGCACATTTAAAGACTGCACCTCATTATACAAAAAAGAGGTGGAAATCAGCTCCTCGATTCTTATTGTGATTGGATGTATTGATTATCTGAGATATCTTAGCATTACCAGAGTGGTTGTCATGGAGACCTCTTATGGTGGCTGTTAGATACCAACAGAAGCTCCTGTTAAACAGACAGGAAGTTAGAACCTGGAACATAGACAGATGGTTCCTTAGTGTGACTCTGACAATTTTTTGTTAAATTATTAAAATAGAGAAGCTAATGAC